TGTGACGAATATTTGAAGATAGGAGAGGCGACTTCCACGATTTCTCATCTCAAATTATGCACTAAATAATTGACCCCTTTGTGAGCTCTTCGTAAGTTTCCACAAGATTTAGGTCATTCACATCTATACCACGATAATGGTAAGTCAAATTATTTGATGATTTATTTCATTAAAAAGTATTGTTATTTGGGTGTCTGTAGTTTGAAGTCGAAAAAAATTTGGACAGAAGTTTGACACGAAAAAAGTAGTCGAGGCAAGAACTCGGTTCTTTCTCCTTAAGATAAATTTCCCCCCGTATAGTGCTCTCGGTTAACGGCAATCGTCCCCAAGATATAACGACTATTTCAGTTCCAAACAAGGTAGCACAACAATTATTGGAACACGGTGAACAAAACGACGTGAGGACTTTTTAAGACACGGAGAAATGGGACTTGATAATTGCAACAATATGCAATGATATGTTATCATGAGAAGTGAATTCAATTAATGTTTGAATTCCATATGAAAAATGAATTATTCAAATGATGGATTTTAGGATCTATTTATAGATTTTGAAAGATTATGACCACAAGTCACAATTCTTAGGAAAATAATTTCATGAAAATGTATCACACATTTTCTCATCAATTACACACTTATTCCATTTAATAGATTCTTAAACACACTTAAATATTTTAATGGTGGCATTTCACTTTATTATTTTTCCACACTTAAATATTTTAAATGATTTATTAATTTATCATTCATCAAAAAATAATTTTGAGAATCTAAATTAAACCACTTAAATATTCAACAAAATTCAATACTCCAAATTTCCAACCGGTATCCACTCAAGTGAATGTACCATATGTTTTTAAGGTTATTATAATATGTAAACGAATCATTTCTAAAGTCTGGACTTAGGGCTGCAAATTCAATTCTTCAGAAAAACACACATTGAAATTACATTACAAATATGATGTGCATGCAAGTATTACTTTGGCTTAATAATTAAAAAGGATGATACAATATCTTTTTCGTCCAAATGCCCAAAATATATGCACGTCTATCCGACAGTGACGATTCTATAAAAAAATAATAATATTTCACATATAGTTGACCCACCCCCCTCCCCACCATCCCAAAACCCCGTTCGTCTCACACTGTTGTTCATAAGCTATTGGGAATTGGAAGTATACAATATTGAAAAATATTATATATATATGCACGTTGGATTAGAAAACTTATCTCTAGAGATCCTATATTTAATTCCTTCAACTAATCTTGAAATTACGAATAACCCTTAACAATTGTCTTTATATAAAATTACAAATTTGACTAGTAAATCTTAAGTATTAGGGGTGAGTAAGTCGGACCCATCAACCCGTTGAACCAATCAAACCCGGTAAAAACCATCCCGTGACGGATAGATCCGCGACTTTGGGTCTAAGGCGGGTTCAAATTTTTTAATACCGTGAAACCCGTCCCGCCCCGCCATATATAACGACGTCATTTTGTTTATATTATGTAGTAAAATAAGTTAATAATATAATAATACACGAATTACATGTCAAAACTTATATATATAACGAGATATCGTCTCTTTTCGTTTATAATTATCTATTTTATTTTAAATCTTGTCTTATAAAGTTTTGAATTTATTTACTTTTTTTAATGAATTTATTTAAAAACGTATTAATTTTGATTTACTCTTGACATTTATCATTGATATTATTCACTTTGGTTTCAATTTAAGATTTTACGCTTGATCACTCATTTTAATTTCTAAATAGTTTCGCGAAAAACTTATAAATTATTTAAAAAAACATGTTTAAATTATGATGGGTTTCGACCCGTGAACGTTGGCTCCTACTATAAACCTGCCATGGACTCGTCTATCCTAAACCCATTGAAAACCCACAAATTTGATTCATTTAAATCAAGAACCGTTGGTTGACGGGGCGAGGGCGGGTTTTGGTAGAACCCGTGGGTTTATGACATGCACACACCCCTACTAAGTGTACACATGTAAACTCCACTTCATGTAATAGCTCGCAAATCGCACAAGAAAGATGCAAACTATATTAGGCTGACTATATTTGACGAGCTCAACGTAGAAATATTGGTAAAGATTTTTGAACTCGAGTAAAATGACAACAAACCCTCTTACTCCACCAATTAAGTCACCCCTTGCAGAAGTAATATTAAATTATTGTTTTTTTGTTGTAACAGTTGGTCGTGCTAAAAGATATGTATGGGAAAGATTAATTTAGAATAGGAGAAATGTGGTACAAGTGTCCCACCACACATTTTTGTTTTGCTACAAGACACCCATTTCTCTTCTCTCTTTTCTCCTTTGGTATGAGTATCTTTTATTTGCTAAAAGTCCTCTCTTGCTTCCTTCTTCTAACACTCACAACTTATGGATACACAGAGAAGACTGTGGCCGATCCTTGAATTCGAGACAAAGTGAGTTTAATATTAACGAGGATTCAGGGGCAGCGCCCCCAGTTTTTTTTTTTTTTTTATTCATTCACATAATGCAGTATAAAATAACTACAAATTTATAAACTTTAACTAATATAACATAAATATTTTGGTGGATATATTAAATTAAATTACTTGGGTGAGCTAAATTAAATTACTTAATATATAACTGTAGTAGAAATTTTTAGGAATTCGCTGTGGGCTGGAGTCTACCCTTACCAAAGGGTGGCTACACAGATGGGCGGTTCCATACAATTTGGTAAAGGAGCGAGTTTTTTTTTTTGGAAATAATAGGGATAATTACTGTTTTGGTCCCCCAAGTTTGCACGTTTTTCACTTTTGGTCCCCCATTTACCGCCGTCAACAAAATACACACTAATGTTGTCACATTTTAACACATTTGGTCCCTCCGTCTGTTTGACCGTCAAGAAGTAACGGTCAACTGTTGAATAAGGGCTGAATTTGAGATTTTTCATAGATAAAAATAGCACTCAGACCCCTGCATTCTTTTAAAATATTCTAAAAACCCCTAAAATTTTATTCAACCATAATTTAACCTCAATTTCATCATTCATTCAATTTTGACAAACGACCCCGATTTTTACCAGCATTTCCGCTAACCGTTGACCGACGTTTTTTTTTTTTGTTTTTACTTTTTTTTTCGTCATTGACTTTTTTATTTAATATAATTTTGACGCCGTTCACCGACATTATATTCTAGGTTAACAATGTTGACTTTTTTTAGCTTTCTTAATTTTTTATGAACTTTTTTCTTGCGACTTTTTTTTTCCTAATCAACACAATTACCGTAGAACACAATAATAATACCATATTAATATCTAGTATCATAATATTAAAATTACAAACTTCAAATAAAGTTTTTATCTAAAATTCTAGGGCCTAACTACAATTTAAAAAATTTCTAAAATCCATAATTTGTTCCCCTCAATTTATTCTTCGTGGAACCGCCAGTGCATCCCAAATTTATTCTCAAAAAAATATGAAGAAGATGAATTAGGCATGTGCAGAGTAATTTGGAATGAGATTTGAGATTCAGAATCGGGCGATACAACTACAATTACGAGCAATATTGCGTGCACAAAAAATTTTCAGCGAATATGAAGGTAAATCACAAACAAATGTATATTTTGATTTAATAAAATATTTGTTTTTGGTATTATTTACATGTATGTTTACTTTATAGTATTTTGCATGTTGTTTGCCCTTTATGCTAATCTTACTATCGGCTCCAATGATTTTTTTGTTTATCAAGGTATTTTAATATAAATCGTATTTTTTTCTTACACTTTTAGGTAATTAATATTTAAGTAATTAACGAGTATCCATGATTGCATATGAACAACAAAAAATTTGTATGTTACTCGCAAGGTATTATGTGTTATATACGACGTCAATGCATGTGTTATAAAACGCCACTTTGATTTTCATGTTAACGATCCGAGTGAATTCCAAATATTTAGAATATACTATTACTTATTTTACATAATTCCAAATAAATAAAATATACTATTACTTATTTTACATAATTCCAAATAAACTAAGCATTTAATCATATTTTTACTTTATGGGCCATGTCAAAAAAAATTATAAGTTATTTGTCACCTAAAAAAACCTTAGTTTCTTCTTACGTTTGTTACTTGTTGTGCAAAGAGTCGTAGTTTCAGCCACAAGTCAAAAGTCACAACCGGCAGTTTCAGAAAATTTCCTCTAAGTTTTGAAATTTTAAACCTTATATAATTTCTGAAAATTTTCCAAGATTTTTGGAAATGGAATGAATTTTTAGATTCTGCAATTTTAGAATTGAAATTAGAATTGGAGTTCATTTGGTACTTTCGAAAAATTTTGAAATTTTTCCGAAAAAGCTAATTCCGATCAGTTCATCCGACTTCAACCCCCAAGTAATCCCGGTTGCGAAATCTTGGTACTTAATCTTAATCTTGAGAACTTGAAACACTTAACACAAAATTGAAAACAAAAAGAAGCAAAACAAAATGATGTAATAAGCCTTGATCAAATTCCAATTGCAAGAATCCTCAAAGAAATCCCATTATAGACTTCTTTCATCAAAGTGGACAACTACCAACTACTCAGTGTGACACATACCATTAACTTTAATGCCTTCACATAATTAGTTAAAAAATTATACCAATCAACAATAGTGTAAGCATAAATTTATCACCGTATTGACGACATAGGGCCCCACAAAAGATACCCAAAAATAGAATAAAATTGAATTTATAAAGGTCATTTTCATAATGACCTAACATAAAATGAAAAAAGAAAGAACAATAATTCAACAACCAGTCTAAATAAGCAGTCATGGTAGGCACGTTGAAAACATCCCATCTTAGTAAAATAGAGAAATAAAGACAAAAAACAATTGTTGTAAGAGAAAATGATCCCCATGAAGTTTTTAAGATTGCAAAGACTTTTAATACTGCCACACCATTAATTAAACAAGCAACCGTGTAATAGTCTCTCATATATATATATAAGTGTACACACACACACACACACACACACACACACACACACACACAAAAACTCAGCTTAAAAAAAAAGAATGGGAGGAGGGTTGTGCATGAGTCATGCAGGTGTGAGAGTGCGTTCGCGTGTTAGAGTTCGTTCGCCTTCTCAGACGAACTACAAAAAGAGTACTTATAAAGGGGAAGAGGAGAACTCGAGGCTTTCAAATGAAGTCGACGAATTCAGCTTCAACAGTTACTTGCCCGACAAGGAAACTGGGAATAGAGTAATGGTAGTGATTGATTCCGGCCCGGAATCCAAACGGGCTCTCGAGTGGGCCCTCTCTCACACTGTTCAAAGCCGGGATACGATTATTCTCTTCCACGTCGCCAAACAAGGTACTGCATACCTTTTTAATCTCTTCTCTTTTCAGTTTTCAATGTAATTTTGGGATAATTAATTAATTGATGAATTATTATTATCTGAGACGAAATAAATTTGTTTCTTTCAGATAGAAGAGGGAATGGGGAAATCGATGAACGGGCTTACGATCTTCTTCGCTCCGCGAAAAATACGTGTCACCTCAAAAGACCCGAGGTCAGTACAATTTTTTTTAGCATGTAACAGTTATCACTTTTTTTAATTAGATGCAAATAATGAAACAAGTATTGAATGAAATTATTTGCATTCTAACACCCCTGTATTTACTCTAATGGTTAAATAAAACTCCTCGTGTTACGACTATTAGCAAACACACCCCTATGATTCGATTTTAATAGCAAACTACCCTCTCCAAAAATCGCCATTTAGGAGTTATATGCTAAAAAAATATGCATCATAGGGGGGATGTTTGCTAATATTAATAACACGGGGGATTTTTTATTTTTTTTCGATATAACACAGGGGTACTAAATAAAATAAACTTGGTTAATAACAGAGACAAATTATTTTCGTGCTAAAGAACAATACTAAGACGTTGTTAATGTCATATGTTAGAATATAAACACCCAAGATTGACCGAATAAAGACAGAAACCGATGTCCTAACCTAAGATAGACACAAACTAGTAAACTAAAGATAAATTCCTAAATATTATCGAACACCTTGTGTGTGTGTGTGCGCGCGTGTGTATAATTATATAATGTTTCGTTGTTACCGTGAATTAAATAGGTGAATGTAGAGATGGCAGTCCAGCAAGGGAAGGAAAAGGGAGCAACCATTGTTGAAGAAGCAAAGAGATTAAAGGTGTCGTTGCTAGTTATGGGGCACCGTAAGCAATCACTTTTAAGGCGGCTGCAAATGATTTGGACAAGCAAGAGGAGCCGCAGCAGAGTCGTTGATTACTGCATTCAAAACGCTAATTGCATGACAATTGCTGTCAGAAGAAATAATAGGAAATACGGTGGATATTTGATCACTACAAAACGTCACAAGAACTTCTGGCTTCTAGCTTAGATATATCGTTAATTTAAAAAAAAAATTGAGCTTGCAGATACGACGAACGAATAGGAAACCAATTGTATAAAACCACCAAAGAGAAACTATTTGATGTCGTGTAATGCTGCACTTTTAGCGTTGAAAAGGAATTTCTATGAATGAACAATTCGTTCAAAAGAAAATTATAGCAAAAATTCTGTTGTCGTGTGTGTACCTTATTTCAAACTTAACGAGCATCTTGACGAGACAAGACACTGCTAGAACAAATGAATCAACGACAAAAAACGGGAATAAGTACTTAAACTAAGAAGCTTACCATGTGGAAAAAGCCACTTTTTCGTTTCACAAAAGCTTTCTTCCAGCAAACGTCGGAGAATCCCAAACTGCAAAAACATTGCAATTGAAAAGGGAAGGAAGCTTTTGTAACATTAGCAAATTTCAAAAGACACAACTAAGAGAACAAATATGAAGTTAAATCCAACCGATCGAACATCCATTTGCATTATACAACTGTACAAATAATTCAAAGCTTATTTTCCCTTTGAGCATGAATTAACCAAGTTATAGAATCTAATCAAGCTCCGAGCAAATATTTGTTTCCAAATAAATCAAAAAAAATCGAGTAATTACAGGAATTTTCTACTGAAAGCTGTATCAAGATACCACATTATTTTCGTTGGTTATAACATCTGCATCTTCCCTGTGAAGATATTTACATCTTTCCTTTTCTTCTTCTTTTTTTCTGAGCAGAGAGCTATTTCCGTGTTTCTGTACACATTCTTTTCCATCTTCTCCATAAGTCCTCTTACGGATTTTCGAGAACGAAAATTGCGACTAATTAAATAATCAGTATCAACACTAAGAAACAAATAGAGTCACAACGAACTCATTTGAGGACTTTCTGAGAGGTAAAGTTATAACGAGGTTTGTATACAATTCTGTACAGTTGATCATATCCAGCAAGAACTCCAGCTCCAGCCACACCAAGTAGCATATTTGCAGTAACACCTCTATAAATAGCTGCAAAACCTTCAACACGAATAATTTCCTTAAACGCATGCATTGCGCTTCGATACTTCACCTTCTGTCCAGATGTCAGCATCATTCTCCTTCGTACAGTGTCGAACGGGTACGCACACACCCCAGAAACTGTCGTCACGCTCCAACCCAAGAAAAAACTTGCCAAAAAATTGTCCTGCATATTTCAATTATTTTGTTTAGTCCACTTTGGCCTCGTATGGAATAAGTACAGAATTTGATAGAGAATATAATCACGGTGTATTATAAATGCTTGGGGTTTAGGTTAATGAAAACCCAATTGTATTACTCGACCATGGAAGAAGGTCCGATAAATAGTGTTCTTAACAGCAAGATAGAACATGATAAAATAAAATTTTCGGGTTGGCCCCGAAAGTTATTGGGGTTTACCAAACATCAAACGAAGTCAAATTATTTAACTAAACATGGCCAATCTCCCCAACCAAACGACGCGGTACTGTATATCATCTATAACAAACATAAGATAATTACTGATTAGATTATCATCAACAATATAATCCTATCCAACCGCAATCAATCTTCCAATCCCATAAAAATCCCTAAACGATGCCTTCTAGAAATAATTAATAAACATTATTGCATAAAATATATGACATGGATAAATGAGTACATTCGCACATAGTTCAGAGTTATCGAGTAGAGTAAGCTTCTCATTACCACTTTCAAATCCTTCTTCGCATAGTTTACAAGGATACATTATCCAATCCTTAACGATATTATCTAATTTCAGAAAATGAGATAGTTTCATATTAACCCTCTCTGGTGTAAATTCGATATACCAGGTAACAGTTATAAGCACAAAAATGATACTCGTCAAAAATCAGATGCACTAACCTGAAACGATCCAACCAAAACAATAGGTTTCATTGTGTCGTAGATCCCAAAATACATTCCTCTGTAAAGAGTGATTCCAACAATTGAAACCCCAAATCCTCGATAGAGACCGGCGATTCCATCAGTGGAGAAGGTTTTCCGGTATACATCCGAAAGGCCGTTAAATTGGTGTTTCCCACTCATATGACAGTTCTTTGCATCTGTGGCCAAACGAGTTCTTGCGTAATCAAGGTGATAAAGAAACAGAGAAGTGGTTGCCCCTGCAGCACTTCCCGAAGCAACATTTCCTGCAAACCACTTTAAGTATCCGTCTCTCTCTTTCGAACATCCAAACAGGCTTTTGAAGTAACCTTTAAACGCAAAGTTGAACGCCTGTTGATAATTTAAAAAATCACATATCGGGTATCAAAAAAAAAAAAAAAACAGACCGAACGACCGAACGAACGAAATACGGGCTAAAGCATCATAATTGTGAAAAACAAAATCTATTTGAAGTCCCCTGTATGTTACTTATGAGAAGATATTTCTTCCTATTTAAAAATTTAAAATCTGTTCCTCGGTAAGAAGTAGCAACAAATACACAAGAATCAGAATCTGTTCCTCGGCTATGTTTGGTAAGGTTTTCAAATTCTTTTCACACTTTCCCCAAAATGAAAATTATCTTTCTACAATATTTTCAAAAAATTTCCCCCAAAAATAATTCAAATATTTCTCTCTCGAACAAACATGATTCGACCGCTACAGTGAAAATTGTCTTCACTAAAATCACTTTATCTTTCAAATTCTTCTTCCAAAGGACCAAAATACATTTTTCAGACATGATTTGACTTGCTACAGTACAAATGGTCTCCTCTCAAAACATAAACAAACTTTATTTTATTTCTAAATTCTTCTACCAAAACACCTTTCTCCAGAATAAAATGGAAACGGAATCCCAAAAGCTTACCAAACATTAGTTATTTCTATAGTGAAAAATATTAAGATGAGAAGACGAAACGAATGAGTTTACAGATGTCTTGGTATCAACACCGACGCTAAATTTTAACTGATAGAAATCTGGAAAATGTATTACCCCCTTAACTAGGAAAACATCATTATCCAGTGAGGTATATTCTTGTTAAGAAAAAAGTAACGAATAAGAAAAACGAAAGAAAACGGAGTTTCAAAACAAACTAGTTACAGTTGAGAAGTACGGTTCTTGATATGGTAGCAAAACATATGCAAAAAAAAGATTTACTGGCCGAAAATCTTCCTCACAAACTAAATGTACTATGCCAAGTACATACCAAAGGTGCTTTCAAAACAAAAAATCAGAATTATATATAATCTCGGTTATCCAATAAACGAATACGTACAGCATTCAATTAATACCTGAGTGGGAAAATATCGTATAACATTGGCCTGGTTACCCCTCCAAAAGGATAAAACGCCCTCCTCCCTAAATACTCTCTTGAAGCAATTACCAACACCCGTATAAGGTTTTTGAAGCTGCCCTCTCTTCATTAGCTCTCCTTGATTTTGCAACAAAAGCTTCACTCTCTCAATGGGCGCTGCGCCGCTTTTTGCTACAACCGCTGCAGCCCCTCCCATTATCAAATCTGCCGAAAATTTCTCCGATTTTTTTTCCATAGCGGAAACCCCCCCTTTTTTTTAACCCCTTTCTCAATTTAGTCCTGCACAAAGTTATCAAAATCGAAAGCTCGTTAATTTTCTACCATTTAGTATATTTAATCTTTGTTGACGGAGCTTTGCCTACATAAAAATAACAGTGTAATTAATTCATATAAGAGAATGAAGAACCCCAATACGAATTGAAAGGAAAATAAACGAGTTTGTACAGAACTTGTACGAAAAAGAAGCAAATTGTGTTGTCTGAATATAAGCACCAGTCAACGAGAATCGGCAATGCAAAAGCATTTGTCATCAGCTACAAATACATAATAACATATTCCATATCGAATAAATGGCGAAAAAATATGTTTTGACGGTCGAATTTTGTATACGACTAAAACGATTCGATCAAATTTAATGCTACGAAAAAAATAAAGGTCAGAACAATTGATTTATGAGCTACACATTTAAGGGTGCAAACATTTCCTAATATTTATTTCCACCTGATTCCTCTAACACTTATCTATGTATCCATGGTTTCATTACAATTGATATTAGCAGAAGATTTGGAACAATTACGGAATACTATCAATTAAACTACCAAAAAACCCTAAATATCTAATTCACCAAAAAAGGAAAAAAAATTAAAAATTGTTCCTGCATCTGGGTCCTTCACATTCCTCCGAAATAAATGCCGCAATCAGAAAATTGAATATATACACGCATACGAATACGAATACAGATATACACACACCGCGAATACATGTTTGATAATGAAAATTTAAAAGAAGATAGAAACAGAAATTTACTTGGGGGGCAAAGGGTATGAGAAAATTGGAGAAGCTCTTTTTTTTTTTTTTTTTCTTTTTTCTTTGTTTTGTCGTCACTTGAGGGTATCAAAATAAATGGACCATAAAATTCTACGATTTCTTGTTTACGAGTTCGCGCCTCATTTCAATATTCTGGCTCTCTAATTTCCTCTATTTATCAACGCTATTTATCAACACCAGGGGAAAAAGGAGAAAAAAAAAAAGGGGTGTAAATTCTTGTTACTATTCTAATAATCACAAATTTTAATTGTAAAATTATATTTGATACCCTATTTTATTTTGTTTTTCCTATGGATTATATAAATTCATGTACTGAAAACTATGCCTGGCAATTGAGTCGGATAGTTTGGCCCAAATTTATTTTAGTCGAACTTAACTAATTGTGAGCTACATTGAATTTGAACCATTGTATTAAGTTCGAAAAGTTTATGACCCGAGTTTCAGCTTTGCTATGGCTCAACCCAAAGTCCAATTGAATAAGAAATTAAAATATTTATTTAATTAATTATTTGACATATTGTTTCAAGATTGTATTAAAGTAATTTAATGAATTAAAAAGTATTTTAAGAACAAATATTACTTTTTCATTGATTTGAATTATTTAAAATATTTCTCTTATTTGTAAATAATTAGAAAACAAAATTTTCATTAAAAATCATTTTTATGCAATCTTACAAAAATTTATACTACATGGACTATATGCAATTATGCATGTATTTTTTTTAAATAGTGTTATAAGTTAAGTTAGAGCCTCATTTAAACCCGAAATATTAGATAAGTCGAGTTTGAGCCTACAACCATGGTTGTTAAATCGTGAATATAGAATTGAAAACCATTTTGTCAAAATAGTGAATCGTAAATCGTATGTAAGAGTTTTTACGTTTATGTAAAAACATTAAATGTTAAATGATGTACACATATTTATGTAATACTACATTTTATTCATAACAAAAAAATATATGTTATTGCATAGAAAAATCTACAACAAAACAACAAAAGTTGTATGATTATCATGCTAAAATTTAATAATAAATGAACTTTCAAAACATTTAACACAAGAAAATCAAGAAGTTTAGTGTTAAAAAAAGTATGAGTTATCATCATTTAATGTTCAATGTTCATCAATGTAAATATTTATTATTATTATTAAATAGAGTGAATATAAAAAAAAAATCAAGATCCAATACAAACTCATGTATGCGATCAGTTGATGAATCGACATATCAGAGTGAATCAAATGAAAGAATAAAAAAAAAAAACACAATACAAGTCTCTTGAATCTATCTTACTTTAAAATATAAGTAGAGTTGTGAAGTATACTAAAAATATTACCGAAATTCAATTGTTTTTTAATACAATAGAGATGAACAATTCTATCAAGACGGTTATAATGGCTTCTAGATGATAATTATATATTAGTATTACTATGCATTTTATAATATATATGAATAAAAGAATATAATTTTATTTGTCAATCAAGATCTAAAAAAATGTGTTATGAAATAAGTTTTTTCGTTACAATTTTCAAATTTGAACTTTTGAATAAAATTGTATTTACCTCTGAAATTTTTAACTTTTATTTTCAACAGTGTTAATACTTAATAGCAGTCTTAATTTTGAAATAACGCATTTTGATTTTTGACATATTGCATAGCCAAAAAAAAAAAACATTCATAATGCACCGTATATTATTTAAAAGAGTGAAGATAAATAACTAATATGATAACTTGCACGTTACATTGTGAATACCTAAAAAATAAAAAAGTAGAAATACTATCGACTATCGTAGTCTGTTTGAATGGAAGGATTTAGATAAGAAATTTCAAATTCATAATAAACAAATCCATTCATTTTTTGGATTGGAGAATCACACCCCTCATTTTGAGTTGTTTTTGAAATAATTATTAAATCATTCTTTCGAATCTCTTTACCAAATCAAACTCTTCCATACAAATGTATCCTCACTAACTTCCTTCAACCATAATTGAAAACATGTTTTAATAGCTCATTGCAAAATACACACATGTTTTAATACCTCACCCCAAAAAACATATCTGAAATATCCAAATTAAGAAACTTTGATTATTTAAACATGTTTTAATGGCTCACTCCAAAAAAACACATCTGAAATATCCAAATTAAGAAACTTTGATTAGGAAAAAGATTTGTATTTGTCACTTTACATTTTTGCACTAACAATACATAAACTCCCTCGTGGAAAAAGATTTTAGTTGGCCAAGTAGGAAACTGGCACGTGCTATTCATATGGCTGGTCTCCCCTCTTTAATAGATTCCCCCAATTTGTTTCCTCTACAAAGAGCAAAAGGAGAAGACACCAAATACCCCAAATCTTACTAATTAATCAACTATGTTATTATTTAGTTCTGATTTAATCTCTTATGTTTCTATTGTTTTATTTTCATTCTTCAACTCTACAATTCATTTTTTTATAACTTTCCGTGTATAATTTGGTTAACATTAACGGAACCTCTTTAAGATTGGATGGAATATTCATTGTTAATTATTTTTGATAAATTATGAATAAATAAATAATTCTGTAATTAAAAAATAATATTTACAACCAAGAAAAATATAATTCATAAACATATACAACATATTAATGTATAATATTATAAAAATAATCATTTAGATTTATTTTGTTGATATGAAATAAATTCTACACAAAAGGACTATAATAAGATGAATTGTACTGTTGATGGATGAAAATATAAGGCAATAGAGACATGATAAATAGTAAGTGGGGACTATTAATGAGATTTGACCGTCCAAATAAACACATTTAGGTCCTTTTTATGTTAAATTTTAAATATAAAATTAAATATTTTGGGTAATTATATTTTTTCTATAAAATTTGGGCTATAAATTTATTTATATAAAAAGGATAACAAAATTATTTCATATTTGGGGGACCTAATTAACAATAAGTATAGTTTTGGGGGGATCTAATGATAATAAACATAGTTTTGGGAACCTATGCCTTGTCTGAGTGAGAGAGAGAGAGAGCTCTTTCCTCACAATCAAAGCGAGTCTATTCTGCTTTAGTTTTCACCCCAAATAAATACATCTGCAGATTTGCACGATTTTAGCATCAAGTTCTTGATTTTCGTCACAGTATTCTTAACCGGGGGTCTCGAAGAATTCTCAATTTATTTAAAGTCGGAAAGATTCCATCTTTTTCGCTGTCGGGCGGCCGGTCCGATGATGCAGCAATAAGGGATCAAATGGGCAGTCATGTAATCCTGAATCGGCGCTGAATCGTGGAAGATTCCGGTGAGAGATGCGGCGGCGGGCGTTCGACTATCGGCGCCCGGTTCGGAGGAGGTTCTCTTGTTGGATCTGGTCACTTCTTCTGTTGTTTGTGATTGGGGGTTCCATTCTTTTTGTTGTTCAGCATAACCACCGCCAAGAGGATCATGTCGAATCTCCTCTTTTGGTAACACTCTTCTCATTTTTGGGGCTTTCGATTTTCTGTAATTTTTTTTTTTGTATTTTTTTAAGGAACTTAGTGTACTAAATTAAGGAAGTGTTGTAGTGTTCTTACACTGCAACTCCATATAATAATTTATATGTGATTATTGAATTCGGAGAGTTGTTGATGATGGGGGATTTTTGTATTTGGATGTGTATATATAATCCGATTCTTTCGATTATTTCTTGTGATTTTAAATTTTCGATTATCGAAGTGATAGGTATATAATCTTGATGAATTTCCGTGTGCAAATTGGTAGTAGTGGAATCTCATTAGGCATCTTTGAAGCTGTGGTTCAATTTGTCGATGTCGAAGATGTCGAAGACTTTGATCGTTAGGCTTAGATTGGTTATATGATGAAAAAAAAAAACGAAATTAGATAAATGTGAAACTTCCACTGAACAATGAGGTTTTGTGGCATTGCCTCCGTATGCATATAGAGTGAAATGAAAGAATCATAAAGAATTGATCTTGGTCGATGTTTGCTATGTTACATATAGACTCGGTTGCCTTTACATATTTTATTCAGCAATTTTTTTTTAAGATTTTGTCCTAATGTTATTTTCTGATCTCAGAAGTGTTGTTTACATTCTAAAACAACCAATCATTTATTTTTTTGCAGGAGATAAATTCGAGAAAAGAATCGATCGTTCACGAGAGTAGTCGGAATTTCACGGATGAAATATTAAGCGCAAGATCATACGCCAGACAAATATCAGATCAAATGACACTCGCCAAAGCTTATGTCATCATTGCTAAAGAACACAATAACCTCCATCTCGCATGGGAGCTCAGTTCCAAAATACGAAGCGGCCAGTTACTGCTCTCGAAAGCCGCAACTAGAGCGGACCCCATTTCTCCAAACGAAGCAGAACCCATCATTAAAAGCTTATCGGGCCTCATTTTTAAAGCCCAAAAAGCCCATTACGATATCGCAACCACAATTATGACCATGAAAAACTTCATCCAATCTATCGAAGAGCGTGGATATGCAGCTACTGTGCAGAGTACAGTGTTGGGACAATTGGCCGCCGAATCGTTACCCAAGAATCTTCAGTGCGTCGAGATTAAACTGACGTCCGATTGGCTGCAAAACAAGTCCATGATAGAGCTCGCGGAATATACCAGGGAATATTCTCCTCGACTGGTGGACAACAACCTTAACCACTTTTGTATATTTTCAGACAACACTATCGCAGTTTCGGCTGTGATTAATTCAACCGTTTCGAATACAGAGCACCCCACACAGCTCGTTTTTCATGTAGTGACGAATGGAGTGAAGTACGGAGCCATGCAGGCTTGGTTCTTTAGTAACGATTTTAAAGGTGCAATAATCGAAGTCCAAAATATTGAGGACTTCACTTGGTTGAACTCGAGTTACTCGCCTTTAGTGAAGCAACTACACGATAATCCCGGCGTCGAGCCGAACTACATCTCTTTGCTAAATCACCTCCGATTCTACATACCGGAGATTTATCCGTTCTTGGAAAAGATAATCTTTCTCGACGAAGATGTTGTTGTGCAGAAAGATTTGACGCCTCTATTTTCGCTCGATCTGCATGGAAATGTGAATGGTGCGGTTGAAACTTGCCTCGAAAGTTTCCACCGTTACTACAAATACCTCAATTTCTCGAGCCCACTTATCAGCACGAAATTCGACCCTCAAGCGTGCGGATGGGCTTTTGGAATGAACGTGTTCGATTTGATCGCATGGAGGAAGGCTAATGTGACAGCTAGGTACCATTACTGGCAGGAACAGAACGCTGATTGGTCGATTTGGAAGATGGGTACACTTCCTCCGGGATTATTGGCGTTTTACGGGCTCACAGAGCCGTTGGATCGAAGATGGCATGTGCTGGGGTTAGGGTACGATTCGAGTATAGATCAACGGTTGATAGAGACTGCAGCGGTGGTTCACTTTAACGGGAATATGAAGCCGTGGTTGAAAATGAGCATCGGGAGGTATAAGAATCTTTGGCAACGGTATGTGAATCAGAGTCACCCACATCTTCGAGACTGTCTCACCACAAGTTGATAGGTTGATACTATACTTTTTTTTTCCGTTCGAATTACGTGATATTTGTTCCGAATTTTACGATCTTGTAACAATATTTTTCGTTCCAAATTTTGAAATTTTGATTTTTGATTTTGATTATTATTAAACCACATTTGGAATTAATTTTTCACTTTTGAAAAATTAGTATATTCTTTTTTGATAAAAAAATCCATACAATTGTGTGCCAATTTCCATCATTTGTGAAAAGATAATTAGATGCATATGTGCAAGGACCAGCTGTACGAAGAATCCTATTGTCGAAATTCACAATTCCATTAAGAAAATCAATAGAAGGTATTGGTGCTCGACTATGTAGTACGGACACGGAAACGGCGATACGGGGACACAGATAAGTGGAAACGACATGTCCTAAAAATGGGGATTTGGGAGCTTGGGATAAACGTGTAAATATTCAAAGTATAGGGGTGTATATATATTTATATCTATGATATATAAACATATATAAGTTTTTATTTATATATAAATTCTTTTTACATATTTTCATACAAACGTATTCAAAATAAATTTTACTATAACTATCAATTTGCAATTGATCCTTAAATTTGTAATTGTAAATAATTAGGGAAAAAACAAAATTATTTAAAAATTTGTTATTTAAACATGTTTCTAATTTTTTAGAAATTGCAAAACGGTCCATAAGGTGTCCTTGAGTATCGGACACAAAACGTGACTGGAATGCAAAAAACGTTAAGTAAACTGAAGTTTCCGTGCTACATAGGTGCCCTGTAGTAACATGATATTTGTTTATAAATTGAGATATATAATCCCACGTTTATCCTATGTGGGATGAAGATGTTATATATGGTTATGTAACTCACCTTAGGTAATAATTCTAACACTTACCATCTCTCATCCTTCAAATTTTGTAATATATAACAAGACATTCATACCTTTAAATTTTAATAAAAATAAGAACTGCAGTCCTTTAATATATATATA